TGCACACACACTGTGGCGTGTTGCACACACATAGTGAACAGATACAGTAAAAATGCAAGAGTAAATATTAAATCCCATCTGCATTCTTGTGGGCTGTGACCTTCGGGGTGTCCTCCACCCCAGTGTTGATGGGCGTTCTGTCTGCTTGTCTGTCTGTGCACCTTGCTGGAGACCTGAGCACAGAACTGGAGTCCCGGGTGCTCAGGAACCAAACCCAGGTCCTCTCTACCACAGAGCCGTGTGTCTAGTCATGTTTGCTACTTGACTGAGTTTCTTTGTTTGGGGGATGGGGTCTTACCATATCGCCCTGGCTGTCCTGGAACTCACTCTGTAGACCAGGCTGGCCTCGAACTCACAGAGATCCGCCTGCCTCTGCCCCTGAGTGCTGGGATTAAAGGCGTGCGCCGCCACGCCTGCCTGTTTCCTTATCTGGAGATGGCGGTGATGGCGATGAGCCTTCGATAGACCACCTACCCGCTCTGGTCCAGGGTTTGTTGCTGTTACTGTGTTTGAGGGATCTCCCCAAAGGGCTTGGAGAGCAAATGTTTGTTGAGTGAGTAAGTGAGCCATTCCTTCCTCAGCACTGGCCATTTACACCCTGCTGCTCTTCGAGATCGAGGCGGGTGCAGCAGCCGCGTCCATCCTGGGCTCAGGTGCCCTGGTCCTGGTGGCGGTAATGACTCACACCCTGCTCCGGGCTGTTCGGGCCACTCGCCGGGGTCTCCATGAGCTGTCCCCACCCTCCTTGGAAGATGAGCCAGCCCGACCTTCAGAAGACTCCAAAGTTGGCTGCAGGGCTCAGCCCCAGCAGGGTACCCATTGCCAGACCCTCTATGCCCCATCCCGGGAACCTGGGGATCCCCCTGGGCCCATGGCCACTGGCATCACATCCACAGTCCTGGGGAAAGCCAGTGATCACAGTCTGTCTGCTTCTCCCCGGCACCAGACACGATTGGCTGGCACGGGCCGCTGGGATGGGGTCACTCACGAGATGCGTAGCATGCTGGGCCACAGGCCACTAGACATGGGGAAGGATGCCACGCTGGTGTGAGCTGGGAGTCAGGGGCAAGATGATAAAACGGTGACATCACAGAGACAGGTCCAGCTCAGCTACTGTAGCCATTGACCTTCTTCCCTCTGAGTCTGTGGAATCCTTGACGAACGTCAAAGTTGCCTCATGACCCCAAACAGCTGCCAGTGCTCCAGCCTTTACCTCTTACTTGCTAAGAGGGATAACAAAGGCCAGGGATGGGTAGGTCTTCTAAAGGCCTTTGAGACCTGGGGACCTTTTGTCTGCACCTCACTGGGCAGACATCCGACAAACAACCAGACCTTTATACAGGGAGGTCTGTGGAATGTAAACAAATGAGGTTCTTTTATAGAGGGGAGGGGAGGGACTGGGCTTCGGTTCTGACTCTCAGTGGTTCTCTATCCATTCTACAGATGAGGAAATGGAGGCCTCAGTAGGGCCTGGGACTCACCAGGGTTCCCATTTCTGAGCATCAGAGCCTGGACTTGCACCCAGGTCCTGTGGCCCCGCTCCCATGTTCCTGGAAGAAGGCTCCAGTCCCAGACCTCCACTCCCCGACACTCCCTGGGAGCTGTGGACATTGAAATTCGCGTGTGTGGGGCTCAGAGCAGCCCAAGGCCACGAGCGAGCGTTCCGGGATGGCTGGAGTCTCCCTGTGGCCCTAGGCTGAGTGGGTTTCGTCGCTGTGCCTCAGTTTCTTTATCTGTGACGTGGAGAGAGGTGTGGGGGGGGCACACAGGAAGCTGCACACAGGAGGCCCTCAGTACATAGTAGCCATGTGTCTTCCTTGTCTTCTCGCTGTAACAAAGTATCTGACAAAGGCCACCTAAGGGAGAAGAGGCCTTGTTCCCGCCAGAGCTCCGGGTCTAAACCCCACTCCCGGTTCCATTCTGTGTCTCAGTCACGCTGCGCCTGCCGTGATAAAACACCCAACAAGCCCCAGTCAAGAAGCAGAGAGATGACCGCTGCCTCGGGGTCGTTAGTCCGTGGGCTGCTGCCCCTTAGGAGGGCCCTCCTGCCTCAGCTAACAGCCTGGAGACGGCACCCTCGCCTGCCCGGAGGCTGGGCTCCAGGGTGGATCTGGATCTGCTCGGGTTGACAATGCTAGCCCGGGTGTGGAAGCAGGTGACGACCGAATGAAGCCCACGTCCACAGAGGTCTCCACCCCTTTCCAGACAGCCCAGCCCCAGGAATGAACTCGAGGGTGGCTTGCTCTGCTTGGTTGCTTTTGTTTTTTAAGACAGGATCTCATGTAGCCCAGGCTGTCCTGGAATGCTCTGTGTAGCCAACAGCGGCCCTGGACTGCACCCTAGCCCCTCGCCGGCTTCTCACTCCTCTGGTCCCTTCTTCTCTTCTTGAGCCCCGGAATTCTCCGAGGCTCTGTCGGGAGTCTCTGAGAGAGCTGCTGAAGGACGAAGCTGAGACCCGCCCTCCCTGTGGACACCACCCTGGGAGCAGAGCTGGGACCCGAGACGGCTTGGCTCAGTCATCTTGGGACTGTCCAGGCCAGGCGGGAGCCAAGCAGGCGGGTGGGAGACACCTGATCCAGGTGTGGCAGGACGTGGCTCCCTCCTCCAACAGCCATGGCTGGAACTTGGCTTTTAACGATTTTAATTTCTGTTTGCTTCAGTCTTTCAGTTCTCTCTCTATTTTTTGTTGTTTTGTTTTTGGACAAGGCCTTACGTAGCCCAGGCTGGACTGGAGCTGGTTATGTAGTGAAGATAACTGAGACTCTGATCCTCTGCCTCTGAGTGCCTGTGCGCCACCACGAATGGCTGAGTCACCCTCGGTGACTTTCTGAGGGAGAGTCCAGCTGGGTGGCCGGGCGAGGCAGGAGAACCGGGGCCAGTTCGAGCCCAACTTTGGCAACACAGTGAGACCCTGACTGAATAGAGGAACAAAGTAGTCCATGATGGCCAAGCAAGGTAGTGCAGATTTGTTATCCCAGCCCTGTGGGGGCTGGAGCAGGAGGATTACTATGTGTTCAAAACCAGACTAGGCAGTGGGGCTATCCTCCCGGCCCACAAGAGGATGAGGCAGGAGAAGGGACCAGGACAAGGTCCCACTTGAATACATAATAAGTTTGAGACTAGCCTGGGCTACATGAGACTCAAACAAACAGAAAAACAAACAAACAAAGAACAACAACAAAAAGAAACCAACCAACCAAACAAACAAACAAAAAACACCAAAAAATAAAAACGATGTCGCTCCTCTGGCCACATGGGGTGGGGAACGGGACATCTTATTGCTGAGATGGGGAACGAGACATGGAGAGGTTAAACCATCGCTCAGGGTCACCCGTAAAAGCACAGTGGAGTTTCTGGCTTGGAGGGGTGCAGGAGACCCCTGGCTGTAGCCACACAGAGCTGTGAGTCCCAGGCAGGCCCTGTGGGACCCCAGCACGGCCCAGAGACTTTCCCCAGCCGCAGGGTTGGATGCTTGGCAAATGCCTCGGTGTGTGATTCAGGGCACACTGGCTCCTTCTGACTCAAGGCCACGCACAGGTCACTGGAGGCCTCTGGTTACCAGCGGGTGCTCTGAAAAGCGATCCCGGGTGGTTTCAGGGCAGCTGGGAAGGTGACCAGCGAGAACAAATGGCTTTTGCTTCCGAGTGAGATCTGGTTTGGTGGCTGGCGCCACGGCAGCCTGGGCGGGACCTGGCAGCCCCGCAGCCACAGATGGGGTCAGGACAGTCCCCAGATCCCTGTGTCCAGGCTTAGTGGCACCCCGCTGAATCTCCTCATTGACAGACTTCAATGCTTAGCCAGGATCCTCTGAGATCCTCCTGATCCAGCCTTGACCGGCCTGTGCCGGCTCTGACCTAACTGCTATCCAGCTCTGTCCCCCAGGGCAGCAGCCATCTTCATCAGAGCCGCTGTGAGTGCTCAGGAGACCCCAGGATCCAGCCTGATGGGCAGTGGCAGTCCCTCCTAGGAGAACAGGGTGGGGAGGGGCGCTGGACAGCCCCTGGGATCCCCCTCTCCCTCTCTGCTTCTGTCCTAATCCCGCGTGGCAGGGGTCTCAGGAGGTGCTAGCCCTGCACAGTGTGGAAAGTTAACTGAAGGATATAACAGGCCCCAGACCTTAGCACAGCTGACTCCATGATCAAGTGCCATTCAGGCCATGAACCTCAGCATGTAGACAGCACCACCTGCTAAAAATGAAAAAAATAAACCTAATCCATCAAAGCCTGTAGTTCTGGGAAGTTCTCTAAATGACTAACCTTGCTTTTCGGCTTCTGTCATCCCCTTCTGTTCTTGCTAACTGAAGTATGTCAACCCAGGACTTGGTTTTGTGCTTAAAAGCTCACCCTGAGAAAGGCTCGGGGCTACACTGGGATCCCGAACACCCAGGGCAGTCACTGGCCGGCTAATAAAGAGTTTCTATCGGCTTGAACCCATTGTAGTGGGTAGCCTTTCCAGCTTGGATCTGGAAGTTCCAACCCCCATTGAGACTCTGGCAACTGTCACGCCTACAAGGAGGGGCCAGGGGAGGCACCTGGAGACTTGAGAGCTGGATGGGCGAGTGCACTTGGTGCTGGGACCCTGAATGGTGGAGGTGGACCGAGAAGAGCTCCAGAGAACACCACTGGACTGCAATACACCTTCCCCAGACCCTGAGACCTACCTATCCCTTAATTTGTGAGTTACGCCATTAAATAAATATCCTTTTAACTACATGGAGTGGCCATAATAATTTCACCAGTATCTGGCGCTCACGTGGGGCAAATTCCAAAGTCCTGGGCAGCTCCCGCCCTCTCCTCCCTAGCTGGCGGGTACCTAAGCCAGCCTGCAAAGTTCCATATAATCAGGGAACGCCTGCACGGTTCCATTCCCAAAAAAGGGAGCAGCTAGTCCGATCTCAGTTCTCTAGCTTAGCCCCGAGACCAGCGAAAGAGGCAGGGGAGTGCTAGCTCCAATTTCCTCCATCTCCGCCATTTCTGCCATCTCCCTCCGACTCCAGCCGAGATCGCCAGCAGGGCCTGTTTTGGAGCTGTACCAATGCCCCCTGCTGGCTGAAAAGTGCTACTACATGCCCCAAAAACCACGAAAGGTAAGCATATTGTTTCAAGTAAAGGTACTTGATAATTTTACACCTTAAAATTGACTAACAAATTT